CTCTCTCTCTCTCTCTCTCTCTCTCTCTCTCTCTCTCTCTCTCTCTCTCTCTCTCTGCGAGAAACGATGTCTCGAACTCGATCCTCCTCTCGTTCGTAAATCGAATCTTCGCTCCGTTAAATAGAGGAGATGGAACAAGCGTGGAGTCGATCCGCGGATATTCGAACGCGGGTATGTAAACAAAAAAAAAAAAAAAAAAAAAAGAAAAAGAAAAAGAAACACGTGTAATTTATCTATCGATGTTGGACGGAGAAGGATTCGAAACGGATGGAGAATGAAATAAAGAGAGGAATCTCATACACGTTTCACGAATTATACACGTTCGATGTTGGAGAGTAAGGGAGAAGGAATCAGGGGTATATGCAATCGATAATATCCACGGACAAAAATACTCTTCGGCAACTTATAGACTTTCAGCGTACGTCGTGCCACGGACGACCGGACGTTCCGATCTGCCGGAAAAGATTCTCATATACGTATACTTATTCTTCGCTGGAAAATATTTATACGTTCAATCGTGATCTATGTCGCGAAACAAAGTATTTAATCCGTTCTTGGTTTCCAGCATTTATCGATAAACACGGGTAAATATTTGCCGGCGTTAATTCCCTCAAATAAAAGAGAATCTGCATTTGATTCGCGCAATGAAATATATATCGCGTTCCATTTATATCGCGTGTATGTATGCGTTTGGGTGTGTGTGTGTCATGATCGTTGATTTTCGCGCTAAACGATTATTAATTGAAAAGGCTTATTATATCCGGAAAAAGATTCGATTCCAGGTAAAATTATTCGGGTTATTATATACTGGAATTAGAATAGATGAAAAATACGGGTGGAACACCGGATGAAGAAATTCGGATTTATTAACTCGAATCGGTATGCGTGGAATCTCTCGACGCCCTCGCAATTTTTGCTAAAAGAAACAAACTGCTCGTTTTTTTTCTTTTCTTTTTTTCTTCTTTTCTTCTTTTTCTCTCTTTTTTTTTTTTTTTTTTTTTTTACCTCTCTCGACTGGAGAGGAACATTTAACCTCGATATCAAATGTCTAGTGCGTTGAGTCAGGTTCCGAATCCAAGGTCTCGTAACAAACGAACGTTTTAGTCCCTTTTCACTTCGCTAATACACGTTTTTTTTTTTTATCAGTTTCTTTTTTGGAACTTTTGTAATTTTAAAGGGGAGGATGAGGGGAATGTTTCGTATAAATATTAAAACTAATTTTCGAAGGGAAGAATTTTCGAAATTCTTTCAATTGGGAGAGCACATCTCTTGTGTTTACATTATAGATTATCGTATACCCGTTTGGTAAAAGGTGAAACAATTCTCCTTTCAAGGAGAGAAAAAAAAAAAAAAATATCGCGAGAAGCGTTCGAGATCGAATTTAGACGACCTCTTTCGACATTGACAGTCATTTCTCACAATAATCAAAGATTACGATCTATGCAAAACTCGAGAGAGGGCTCGATAAGCTATCAGCATTGACGCATGTACTTATCTTGGAGACAATTTTTATCTTCGGCAAAGACATCGAGCTTAGAAATTCTTCTCGATTTTTCCCGATTTGACGTATGTAATACGTAAACACGGATCACCTATATTCGATATTATCATCCAGATCGCCTCCCATTAACCGCTCGCGATATTTGCACGAGAGATCTTGCAATTTAGATAACAATTTCGTTTTCTACTTTATAACCCAATTAACCCTTTTCAACGATTATTTCCCTCCACTTTGAACAAATTTCCTCTTACGTCATCTTTGCGATATATTTATTTATTTATTTATTTATTTTTTCTATCATCATCACTTCCTCTCCATTTCCTCGCTCCAAATAGAATAAAATCGCGTATATATATATATATACCTATGAATAAACCTATATTAGGATATGATATATTAATTTAGATTAGACTAAGTTTATTATAAGTTTAACATATGTTTATAATTTTTTGAAATATTTCAATAAAATTTCCACGAAATATTTTTCAAAACGATTCCCTTATCGAGCTTTCCTCCGAGTGAAATGTCGTAATCGACTTAACGAGC